AGAAGTAAGGCGACGCTAAGTGCCTGTAATGTGCGCAGCTCAGCTGGACAGCTCACAGACCGGATATGCCTGAATCAGACGCCCCCCCCCCCCCCGAGCTGGCATTGCCCGTCACCTGCTGCAGAAGATCAAGAGCGAACTGGTACACCTTGACTGGCAACGAGACGGTCTGGTGGCAGTGGGTCTCTGACAAAAAAGACACCAATTCAATCAAAATGTCGCCCACGCTCCGCATAAGGACCTCCTCCACAACCAGCAACTCGTAAAGCGTCTGCAGCTATTGCAAGCCGCCAAAGATAGATGGATTCACTCGGCGTTGGCGTGGCGTGATGGACATCCGGCACTTGGAGAATCGTGCGCCATCTCACAGCCGGCGGCGGCGGTCGGCTTGAAGGGTCGTGCAGCCGCTCGCTCGCGCCTGATAGGGCCGCTCGCCGCCGCCGCACGTCAGCATGGGCGTGCCACACGTCCAGGGACGTACTGCGTGCGCGACCCCCGCCGACCTGGAGCACGCGGGCGGGCGACGCCGCGGGCGGGGACGTGTGCCGAACCGATTTTATCGACCGGCGTCATTAGTTGGGCAGGAGGGAGAGCGGGTAGTGGTGGTGAGGGGACCCACGTGTCGATTCTGGGGCTGCTCGAGTCTGTCCTCGGCCCCGGCCCACAGCCACAGTCGACGGATGTTCACCACGCGCGCACACTCCCGCCCACGTTCGAATTTTCACTTTCTCCCTGGGCCGACCGCTGGTGCCGCCCCTGGCCGCGGCTCCGACACCGATACAGACGACACCACCCGACCGGCAGCGAGGGTCCGCTGGGACCGCAGCGAGTGTGCGGCGGCGGCGCCGCCGACCGCGGCTGGCGCCGCTGACGGACGACCGGGACGGCGCTCGGCCGACGGCAGCCGCCGCTGTCAGCCAAACGTCGGAGCCGTCGCCTCGCCGCGCTGGGACTGGGAGCCGTCGGCTCCGCTCCGGACGCCGGAGCTGTCGGCTCAGGTCCGGACGCCGGAGCTGTCAGCTCCGCTCCGGCTGCCTGGGCTGTCAGCTCCGCTCCGGACGCCGGTGCCGCCGACGTGGCGGTCAGCCGAGACGTGCGGCGCGTGGCACGTCGTCAGGGCGTCGGTAGGGCGTGCGCCTCCCGGTCACCCAGCCCGACCAGACGTTAGCAGGACAGCGGATTTAACTCGCCAAGTAACGCCGGTGGATGATTTCAAGGGATACACTGACTTGACAGAGTTAAAAAAGAGTTGAACTCTGATTGCAGTCACAGAGCTGAGAATCGGGCATAACCCTAGATCAGATTGGCAGAGGTAGATGTTGTTTTATCTATGCCGTCTGTCCTCTGTGCAAGTATCTAGTGAGTGGTCTGGGTCCGCTAAAACAAAGCTTCCAGCTAACGACGCGACCGCAGCACCTGGCTAGAGCACTTCCATTGCCTCCTTGACCGTGTTTCGGTTTCGGCGAGCTCTTCAATCATTCCTTTAATCGTTCATCACAAACAACGCGCATTCACCATCTCAGCTAGGGAGGTCGCAAATGTACCGAGACCAGCGTCGTCATCCTAGTCCACACAGCCGAGTCGAAATGGGCCAAGGCTGCCCCAAACCAGAGGCGCGCGGCTCCTCACCTCGTGCACAGCGTCGCCGCCCGCACGACATGGCTGTTTTGCCACTCAAACTAGCGTCTAAAACTTTGCTCTCGGCCGCGTCGAGTTGGCGACCGCATTAAGATAATGCTTTCGCCGGCGGCTGCGCGCCGTCAAATAGCCGACGATCCCCCACATGACGCGACGGTGAAACTTTTAATGGATCGTCGCCATCGGTACGGCAGGGGTGCGGCGGGCGCCCCATCACCGGCCGCGAACGGCCGCGCAGGGCCAGCCTCATGCAAAGTGGCGCCGTTTTTCTGGCCGGAGGAAAGGCTCGTCGCTCCTACCCGGTGGCGGCCGGGCGGCGTGCTGCCGCCGGAGCCGCCAGCCGCCGACGAGAACGACGAGCGACGTTGTGAGAGCCCACGCAGTCGGGTGGCCTCCGCGGACGGCGGTTCTCCGGCGAGACGGCGATTTTGTGCGATGCATTCGATACGCGCTTGACAGAACAGCGTCGCCTGGCGCCGCTGTTGCCGCTTGATGGCGAAGTGGCGGCGAAACTAAATGCTGGTTTAGACCAATGGTTTGTTCACCGATGGCTATTGCCGCCACCAGCGACCTTAAATGGCCGGGCCAGAACACGCCATCGATGGTTGGCTGGCTTCATGTGACGACAAAACCCCACAAACGATTGGCACGCCAGTCACAGGCCCGACACAGCGCTGCTGCAGTGTTCCTAAGGTCCGACCACACGGCATCAGACGGCGGGTACGCCTCAGTCTGTCAACACTGCGGTCGCCCTGGGGATTCCATAATGCACGCGTCACTGTTGGCACGGCCTCATGCGACTGTTTGCTCGTGTCCCATTGCCGTCATGACTGACGAAATCAGCGGCCGCGTCGTCCCGTCCGTCGCCGGCTGCGCTGGTCCGACGACCTGCCCGTCCCAGAGGCCGTCCCACGACCGGCGGCACGGCGGCGACGTGCGCTGGGGTCCGTGGGCACAGCGGCGACGCACACCGGGGTCCGTGGGCACAGCGGCGATGCACGCTGGGGTCCGAGCGCATCCCGCCACGCATCCAGCGACAAACGACCGAGGTTGCGAAAGCCGCAACTCAGCACTTCAACGCCTCCCAACTGCGCTGGGTTGCGCAAATCGCAATCAAGTGCTGCACGGGCGCAGAAAGAGCGCCGTGCAGAGTCTCCAATCAGCGCCTGGACGGTGCGTGCAGGCGCTGTGTTTTTGCGAGCCTCACGGCCGCTCCAGGGAGGTCTCCATCTCCAGCACGCTCTCCTGGCCCCGTTTGACGGTACCGCAGGGTACTACCTGCAGCGCGGTATATCTATACAGCATATCTACAGGTGTGACGTCAGTGGCATTGACCTTGGGCTAAGGCTCTCCGGGTGAAACGCGGAAGACTGCTGACTGGCTGTTCCGCCCGCGTGTTCTTCTGACCAGCGGAACAGAGCTATGCGCCGGCCGGCTGCGGTCTTTACCAGCCAGACGCACGCCAGCTTCACCACGCTGACAAGGAAATTGCCGGATTGCGACAACCGTGGCTGCATTCCACCTGGTTACGCGTCAGATGTGAAGTGCATTAAGTTCTACACGACAGCCTAGATATCCCGAGCAATCAAGCTCAGCCGTGCAACAAGTTTATGCTTCGCCAGTACCCAATCGTTCTACAATGGGAGTCATGGCTACGCAATCCACGTCCTCAAAAATGTCGTGAATGGCGCTCTCGTGTCTGAAGAGACGCATTTTTGCTACTGAACCGCCATGCAGCACGGCGCCCCGGCCGGCTGAACGCTGATGAGATGGACGGGAAATGGGTCATCCCAGCGCCTGGGCAGCAATAACCGGCCAACCACCTGTCGCTCAGGGCCGATGGCAAGTATCATTTGGCAGCCGAGCCTCGGAATGGGGCTGGGGCCACTTACGGGGCCGGCGAGACCCGTGGCCGGACGGACCTTCTCCAGACCCGTGACAGGACGGACCTCCTCCAGACCCGCAACAGGATGGACCAGACCTGACCTGGCCTGGCCTGGGACCGGACGGGCCTCCTCCAGACGGGTCACACCGGTGGCGCTGATAAGTGTGAGGACGGGGACGATAAGGATCAGCCCACTCCGGACTTAACAGGCCAGGTCATGTCAGCGGCCTCCGCACGGCATAAACTACGCGCAGGGACCGGGGACGGACCTGAACGGATCAGCGGCATTCCTTCATATCCCGTCAGAAGCGCGAGGGGATCTCTGGGACACGCCCCATCAGAAGTGCCTGGAGTTCCCAGATAGGTCCCGCCAGAGGCACCGGGGGCTTCAGGGCGGGGCCAAGCAGGCCGGCCACACCCAGACGGTTTGCTCTGCCAGAGGTCCGTCCAGACAGGTCCTGTCGCCGCCGAAGTCGGTCACGTCGCCAGTGCAGGAGCACGGAGACACTGCCGGCAGCGGGACGGAGCGGGCCGGCTCCAGGGGAAAGGCGAGGTCAGCGGGAGCACGCGGTGGCGTCACAAGGCGCGCCGGCGGACGGCCTTCAGCGGACGGTTAGCAGGTCAGCCTGGACTGGACTGACAGACACCTGGACTGGCAACGGCCTGCCGAGGGCGTGTGGGGCCGTCTCCAGGGGAGATCGATCGCCATCAGAGCTCGTTAGATGGCGTTACAGGAGCGGCCAGGCGGTCAGATTGGCGAGGCTGGGTACAACGAGCTCCATAAATCCGAGTCCAGTGTCGACAGAGTGGCCAACAGGAAAACAGGAACGGAGGGAAACGAGCCAAATGTGTTCGCAATGATGGAGGCAGCGGTCGAGCGGGAAATGGTCTGTGTTGCCGGCTGTGAGAGGTTTGGTGGTGGGGTGCGAGGCTGCCGAAGAGCCATCTCAGGGCGAAATAAAGCCCTGCAGACAAACGGCTTGCTGATGGCGTCCAGCCAAAGGTAAAAATTAGGACCGATGAAAACGGGTGTCATGATGGTAAAAATCGCTGACAAGTTCCTTGATAGTCAGCAGATAATGGCAAGACGTAAAGACCACCTGACTAAAAACACTTACCACATTGGCTATTGCACATAAGCGATGCAATGGTGCACCGGTCTACAACCGAACACCCATTGGCAATTCAACTTTCAATACCAGGAAAACCCCTTTGTCGCTCACGCGGGGAGCTGAGGTTCGGTTCACTGCAGCAAAAAGCGTCAGTGCGTGCTGCAATAACACCGCTGGGTCGTCAAGAAGACTGCCATTCATGAAATGGCGAATTTACGCGCGATGCGCGAGTCACGCTCGAGCGGTACAAGCCGTTCCCATCACGCATAGCTAGAGTCCAAGCGCGTTTATCTTTATCGTGCGGAATTTCGAAACACAGCAAAGCATCCAACACGCGCCAAGTTGCTGGCCGGGCCGACCCTTACCGAAGCCCTTGGAGCGCGCTCGCAGCTTCCTGCTGGTGTCCAAGATGAACAGCACGTTGATGACGATGGTGACGATGATAACAGCCACCAGCCCTCTCTGAAATGAGACGCAGATGGTTCAAACAAAGGCAGCCACTGAACTGTAGGCAGAGGATCGGGTCCAGATCGCCCAGATCGTGTCACAAACGGCACGGGCGGGGAGGAGGGGAGGGGGAATACGCCAGGCTGCACCGCTGCACGAGACAGGTGACGCCAAACGGCAGAGAGTTCACTCCAATCGCATTGCATCAGCCGACGACATGCACCCGTTGACGTTAGCGTTGTTCCTCGACGAGCACCCCTAAACACTCATGTGGCTTTCGGTCAGCTGGTCGCCCTCTCCACTGCCGGCTACGAGTTCTCACCCAGCCTCTCTCGTACTGTTCCTCCTCTATCGTTTTCTCCGCCTCTTTTTCCGTATTTCCTTCCCTGCCACTCTCCCTCTTTCCATCTGCCCTCCCCTCTCGCTCTCTGCCTCTGGCCGGCCGTTCCGCCGCGCGGCGTCTCGCCCTCCGCCATGATCTCGGGAGTTCCGGCGGCGGCGCCGGTTCAGATCGGACGCGCGCGTCATCGCACGCACGCCCACGTCCGCAGCGCCGCCGAGAGCCGTCATCCGCGCGCCTTTCGGGACGAGTGACAGCCAAACAAACGACGCCGCTTGGCCGGACGTGCGCGAGAGCCGAGGTCTGGGGACGCGGCACAAACACACGTCAGCCAGTAACCGCTAGACTGATACAGCCGTCACAATAACAGATAGCGCGTGCCGAGACGGCGCCGCACCACCGATGGACAGGGCGCAGGCCGACGGTAGGGGCCCGTCGTCGAGACGAGGGCACCCTGTCACCAGGGTGAGGTAACCAGAACAGGTCAGCACGGAGTGGACAGTGTCCGGACGCTGACAATGTCCGCTTGAGAACGACGTGCAGCATGATTTGGTGGGCTCGCTGCCACATTTTCGCTCGTTCTTCGTGCCCACGCGTCAGAATCCTGCGCGAACGCATGCCCTCCAGAACCCATAGTGGCCATCAAATCACTGCCTCATGCATGACTTGTTGTTTGTCTCGCAATCCAGGTCGAGGGCGCGCGCATAAATGAGCTCGGCCGCTACCGCCGCACAACAACGGAGCACAGAGTAGCTGAGTATCACTCACACCATACTCGCGCGCCCGCCGGCGTCGGCGCGCCACAAAGGCCGACAGCGCGCCACCACAGCCAACGGCGCGCCAGTGATTGCCGGCCGTGCGTCATGTTCCGCCCGGCCGCCTGCTACCCGGGAGGCGATAATGCAGGGCCGCGCGAGGCTCCTGGCGGGCCGGGCCAGCGGAGGGAAAGGGAAGGGCACGGTCCGAGACCGCCCGGGCAGGGCCGCCCCACGGCCGAACGCCGCGGCCCAGGTCCGAGCGGACCCGGAGCGGCCGTCATACGACAGTCGCACATGGGGTTCCACCGCACAGAGTCGAAACAGACGGTGTGCACGCGTTATAGGCATGCCCGCAGGCAAATTCCTGAGGGTTCATGTCTGTGTGCTTAAACCTGCTACAGCGCAAATGGCTTCATGGCCATATGATGGCAAACCACATATGTTTTTACTGCCGAGAATGCGCACACCCCGTAGCACGCGTTTCACTGTCTGTCTGCGAAGCCCAAAAAACTTACCATCCTGACACCCGAACCAAAATCAAAATCAAAATCCGACGAAAGGCAAAATCAGGATGCAGATCCGGTTTCCGTGCTGCCATGATCATCGGCGAGTGACGTCATGCGGCAGCGCATCGGACAGGTCACGTCCCAATCACATTCAGTCTGCGTGTGCCAGCTCAGTGGGACACCGGGGGTGACGAAAACCCTAACACAGCGCCGAGCATGGCAACGGCTTACTGGGCCCGCGCGGTCGCCTACCGCGGTACAGACGCATGCCGGTGCACGAACGCGCCGACGTGCAGAGCCGGTGGGCGCGGGACGCACCGGTACGGTGCCACGAGACGATCAGAGGTGCCGTAGCGGCGGGAGCGCTGCACCGTGACCCGAAGCGAGAGTGGCTGGGCTCGCGACTTCCTCTGGGGTGTGGCGAAGGACGCGCGGATGTAACGCGCGTTGTGGATCACTGCTCAGTTTCGGTCGGCGTGGCAGCGGCAGCATGGTTGTCCATGCGCAGGATAAGATGATGTGCGGACTGAATTGAGTAACCAATGGAGCACGGCAGGGACAGCTGCACGTCAGTCGTACTTGTGTGGGGTGGTCACCCCTTCATCAAACGTGCACGCAGCGGGTCAACATCAGCAGCGTGGCCGGAAGGCATGCCCAAATTTCGCTGGCTCTTGGACTCACTTTCCTTTTCACACACACACGCACTGCTCCATTCGAGGCTGCGCTTTCTGTGCCTGGGGACGTAGCACCTGTCCAAACCTGATGGAATAAATCACCATTAAATACAGCTAGGAATACCGGATTCGGCGACCAAACGCACCACCACGCAGTTCTTTTTCATCCTCGGCCTTCTTGAGCACAGTGCGTTGATCGGACCCAATAGAGTCATACAGAATGAAAAACTAGCCTCCAGATCCGTTATATCTCACATCTGACGGTTTTTCAACGGACAGCCTTCGTCGGACCGCTGACGAGCACACATTGTGCGCCACACAAAGGCCTGGCCGTCCTGCATTGACCCGTCCTCTCTTCTCTTCCTCCCTTCCCCAGCATCTGTGGCCAATTCGCCACCTCGCCCACCGTGCCTCTGATCGGCCGAAAGCACAGCCAATCCGGCGCCGCCCGACCGCTCCTGGTCTGCAGCGACAATAGCCGAAGGACGGCCTCTCCAGGGGCGAGCGGCGGCTCGTCGGCCGGCCCACACTTTCACCGCCAGCTCTCGGCTCTCGGCTCGACTTGGGTCGGGCTCGTGCGCCGCGCACACGTCTGGCCGGCGGCGGCGGTGCGGCAGCGGCACCGGTGCAGCCTCCCGGCCCAACGGGGGCGGCGGCGCCAGCTGACGGCGCTGACGTCCGGCTGGAACCTCCCCACAGCGGCGCCGCCGTGGCGGTCCGTCCGCGGCCGGACGCCGATCATCCGTGGGAACGGCGCGTGGGGATGGGGGTGGGGGTGGGCTGTCATGTGATGTGCCCCGGCGACGTCACGTCCCGTTGCCGGAGGCGACGCCGACGCTTGGCCAGAGCCGCCGCGCCGGCCGGCGCTGACGTCTGCCCTCAAAAGGGACCAGGCCGTCACAAAGCCTGTCCGCGCCATGTAAAGACGCCTTAATTAAACGGGGTCGCGTCTTAGAGCGTCGTCACTTTCATAATCAACCAGGATATTAGTCGTCCGTAGAATTATAGACGGTGGCAGTTTCATGCGAAGAAATTTCGCTTCGACATCGTGAATGGCGGGGTAGTTGTTGGCATTAGGGCGGCAGGATCTCCCACCAGCCAATGCCCAACACTTGCTTTCAAATGGCTCACTTAAGGCGGAGATGCAGGTCTGGATTGCGCTCTTGCGTGCTTTTACTTGCTTGTGAGTTCTTAACAACTGCAAAAGTTTATAGTGTTTACTGTTGGGCACGCAGGAAACACGTAGCCCTGAGATACTTTTTTCCTCTGCACATTGGTGCTGAAGTGCTCTTTGGCTCCCAATGGGCTGTGAAGCGGATGAACTTATAAACTATGCAAATTGCTATGGCTTCAAGTATTTGCGGCCCTTGTATGAAAAGAGACGATCTGTAATAACCATTACCATTTGGGACATTCCTTCTTGCCATACAGCTGCATCTTGTCATGAAAGGAGGCACCGTGTTCTCGGCACCTGAGCTCGAACTGTTTTAACTCAAGTGTTCTGTCATCGGCATAACAGCCCGGCTCTAACTAACCCGGATCTTGAAGGCAGTAGCCCATTCTGATTTCCGCTGTGGATGAGCGCACGCGCCTGCTCTTCTGCGGCCCAGAGGCCCGACGCGGAGGTGCGGTGGAACAGCTCTTCCAGCCGTTACCGGTTACATCACGCTTGGTAAATATTGGAACAGTTTGAACCGCGGCTTTGGAAATCGCTCTGTGTGCCGACGGCTCCAGAGGTCGCAACCGAGGCCCATCTGTTCCAGGACACGCGCCTCTGTGACAACTCCAGGACCCCCCCCCCCCCACACACACACACCCACCGGAGATGGTTACAACAGGTGACGTCATGTCTCGCACGGAACGCGTGGATCCGCGTACAGACATGGATTCGCCGGGCGTTTGGCCTCTCCGCTCGACTAAAAAATGCAGCGTTCACAAACATGCTACCTACATGTTCGTGTTCAAACAAAGTATGTGAACGATACCCGTGTAAAGTATTGTTCACGCACTTCGTTTGAGAGAGAGAGAGACGGAGACGTTCTGTCTGTCTGCTGCGGTCACCTAATCCGACGATTCTTTAAAAGCGAGGACATTTTAGATAGTTTCCGCTGGAATCCGAAATGCGACTTTCGCAAGCATTCCAAGTGTTCGTGTTCAACCGAAGTGCGTGAACGATACACGGGTAACGTAACGCGGCCGATGTGCTCCCGCCCTGCACCCCAGCGCCAATCACGATCGCGCCCGTGCACAATGCACCATGCCTGGGTCGGGTTTCATGCCAGCCACGCGTGGAGCCGAATTCCAGACTGCATCGCGCACTGCCGGCGCCCCGACCAGCCCGGCCCCAGTCATGTGTCACCGCGTGCAGCCAGTGGGACGTGTCCCGGACCCCGTTATGCGACAGGCAGCCGAATCCCAGGCCGTGCTGGGCACCGCCGGACCGTGTGCGCACGCGGTTACGCCACGTTCGGCCCCGGTCGTAACCATGGCAACAGGGCAGCGGCGGCGCCAACATGCAGTCGCTGGTTCGAGCCGGTCGCCCTGGCAGCTGAGCCCCTCTTGATCTTATCCCTTCGCTCAGTGGGACGGCCGCGGGCGGAATGGGAGTCGCAATTGGCGGCGCGCGGCGGCTAAAATGAGGCATGACTTACAAGTCCCACGTCAGACAAGCATCGGACTCTGTATGATGCATGTCACGATGCACCGGTGGAATGTCGCGGTAGGTGCTCCATGCACGAGCCCAGTATGGAAGCTGTTTGCGACAGCTTGATGAGCTAATACCTCGGTGCCGTCGAGCATATCACACCATCTTGTGTTTTCACGGCACCATGGACGTGGCCACAGTGCGCGGTATGGAAATGAGGCGGTGAGGAACTACGGACGGTGAGCGACGGCGGACCCGCTTCCGTCGCGAGAGCTCGCAGACTGTGATCCTCTAACGATGGTGCGAGGCCCGTAATTCACGGAGCACAGCCTGATTGCGATTCGGTTGGTGATTTACGACGAGGCGGGGATGGCTCCTGAATACCGGAGGTGACTTGCATGAGGCAGCCCAATAGTAAGAGCCTTACTGGGCACAATCTGGAGAGGCAAGAGGTGTCACACCTCAGGAGCACCTCGTACCTGGAGTGACACGCGAGGGGGCGCACCCCATCATTGCGCTTAACCTGTACAGGGTCACGACTCTCAACTGATGCAGACCGTCATCTGAGATCAGCACAACTGACACAGACCGTCATCTGAGATCAGCCCACCTGACGCGGACCGTCATCTGCGATCAGCTCATCTGACACACTGTCATCTGAGATCAGCTCAGCTGGCACACTGTCATCTGATATCAGCTCACCTGGCACGAACCATCATTTGAGACCAGGTACAAGCCGTCATCCCAGGTCACCTCACTGGACGCGGACCGTGCAAAATGCATTTCACCTCACACAATCCAGTGTTGGGTCGTCTCACACCTGACAGGGTCACCCCGGCGGCTTGCGCCAGCCGCCCTCACCCAGCCTGCACACCTCACCTGGCACAGTCTGGAGAGGGAGCAGCGCCTGCCGAGCGGCAGCAGCGGCGGCAGCAGCGGCGTCGGCGCCGCGGCCAGCCGGCGCGGCACGTAGGGCGCGGCGCGCGGATTCGGCTGCCACCCGCCCGGGTACCGGCTCCCCGTCATGGCCGGCGCGCTGGCTTGCTCCGGCTAGACCGCAACGGCAGACGCCATCCTGGAACGGGTGCACAACGACCGGTCACGGCTGGTAGGCGCGGGGATGGCTGGATGGGGTCCGGCGCCAGCGCCGTCGTTTTCAAGGTCGCTGGAGCGCGGGTTCGCGGACGAAAGGTGGGGGGCTGGTCACGGTTTTCGATGTCGTGTCGGGATACCCCACGCTAGATCATTCCACCGTCTATCGGTTACGCACGGATGGTCGGGGGACAAAAGACAGCATTCAGCAGGCCATTGGACGGCCAGTTTTGACATTCTGTCCGTATACGACGCCGCCGCCTCGCGGTCGACACGTCGATGGCCGACGGACCTTCCTAAGCCGTCACATCGCACACATGTCAGACGCGACGACTAACTTTCAAACGTATTGGGCCGTGCCCGAGAACGGACGTCCGCCGTAGACGTCGCCGGAGCCGGCCGTACCCGCCTATCACCTGTCGGCCCGCGCCGAAGCGGCCGTGAATTTATTCGTCCTGCTCTGGTAGCTCCGGAGTCGACGGAAAAGTTATGTGCGGTTGAGTCCGGTAGCCAGAACGGAGGTGCCTGCAGACCGCCGGCGGCCGCGGCGGGAGCCTGGTGGCTCCTGCGGTGCAGTCAACTGCGCCGCTAATCGCCGCAGACGCGCCGCGAATGCCGGCGTGCTAACGAGCCCGCGACGCCGGCGCGCCGAGGGGGCCCGACGACGGTGGAGCGCCAGCCAGGCGGACAACACGGAAATGACGCCCGGACGGTCGATCACAGACGCTGCGGCGCTCGGATGGCGCTCGCGCCGCCGATGAATGCAGCGGCGCGACGCCGGCGGATACATACAGAGGCGGCGAGGCAAAAGTAGTGGCTGATCGCGACGGGACGTGCAGCTGGAAAAGCCAGGGAGACGTAACGGGGATACAGGGGACTTCCGACTCCCTCGCCCGCTCCGCGAGCCACTGACATCGCTGGCGCCATTCCGACCGCGCTGCCGGTCAATGGCGTCGGGGACGTTGGTCCAGCACTGGCCGAGATGAAATGTTGGGCACGTTTTCTTCAGGAGCGTACCGGCTCGTCGTGTGGTACCTACTCTCACTACTCCCATGACCGGGCTGGTCATGTTGTCTGGTGTTGTGACCAGTACGCACAGCGTCGGCCTGTCCCCGCTCCGCCAGTCGCGTCAGGGGTGTTCTGCCGCCTGTCGCCCTCCGCCGGCGCACCAGCGCGGCGCTAACGAGGGTGCTCCAGGCCGACCGCGGGCTCACCTCGCACCTTCCCGCGGGAGCGGCGCGTCAGCCAACTAATCAGCCTCATGGCCCGGATCGACCGCGCCCGACACGCGCTGACCTTCCGGTCGCCCCCAGGGCATGTGCAGGGCGCCGGGTGTGGGCGGCACCGGCGCCGCGTGACCGGCCGGAGAGCGGCCACCGCCGCCGCCGATGACAGCTGATTATTCAGTGATGGAAAACGGGCGCCGTAACCGGCGGACGGAGAGCCTTGAGCTGATTTCACGGCGCAACGACGAGAGGAGACGGCCCAGGGGCCGTGCATTGACGTCCAAAGCCCGACCTGATGCCCTCACGTATACCCAAGCTTTCACTGGGGCGTGGATTAAACAAAATCTTAACCTAAAACCATTCGCCGTCACCGCCTCGGGAGGACACCATGCCACGCCAGACCCTTGCAAGAGGACACGCACGTGGCGGCGCGGACGTCTGATCCTGTGACGGCTACCAGAGCTGGCCGTCGGGCGACGGCAGCGGCGGCGGCGGCGGCCGATGTCGTCTGATCCTGTGACGGCTAGCAGAGCTGGTCGTCGGGCGGCGGCAGCGGCGGCGGCGGCCGGTGACCGTGCCGCTCGGCTGGCTCTGCCGCCGCCGGACCCGGCGGCCATCCGTCGAACCCCCACGGCGGCAGACAAAGGCCGTCCCGCGACGCGCCAGACGGAACATGATGTGTGGCTAGGGCCCGTGGTCAGGGAGGCGGGGTTCCGAGCAGGCGGTGGTCCGGGGAGGCCGGTTTTGAGGAGGCGGGTCTCGGGGAGGTAGCGGTCTGTGGACGCGGGTCCGAGGAGGCGGGTATGGGCAGGCAGGGTCTAAGAGAGGCGGACTTTGGGGAAGGTGAGGGTCCGGGGAGGCAGAGATCAGGGGAGGCGGATTTCAAATAGATGGGTCTCCAGCAGGCGGTGGTATCCAGCTGGCGTGTTATTGGAAAGCGGGTCCGGAGAGGCGGGCCTGAGGAGGCGGGGTCCCAGAAAGGCGGAATTTTGGGAAGGCAAGGGTCCTCGGGGGCAGAGTCTGAGGAAGGCGGGGTCCCAGAGAGGCGGAATTTTGGGAAGGCCAGGGTCCTCGGGGGCAGAGTCTGCGAAGGCGGGTCCAAAAGAGGCAGGAGCCACAGACGACAGGGTCCCGGGGAAGCAAGCACCACGGGAGGTCGGGTGGCAGGCAGACGGGTCCCTCGGCTCACAGTCAGCTGACGGTACGGCAGCCTGCTGTGACGTCACATCACGTCCTCGGCTTACAGTGGGCTGTCCGCGCGCCAGCCTGCTGGGCTCAGACGAGAGTGGGTGACAAAAACAGACGATGAACGTCGCCCTGTACAGAGCACGTACACCCGCGTCCGCCAGACGGCCTAGGCGTGCCACTTGTCGGGAAATGCCACCGCGTGATATAAGCAGACAAGGTGAAACTTCAAACCAAACAAAAACCGATCTGGAACAGGTCCACCTCAGGAGAGGTGACAGCTTGAATAAGTCCTTTCATCGCTACCACATTGAATGACGAGAACTTATGTGCCCTTTAGCTGGGCTAAATGACCACTGACAGCTCATCAATGTTCCTCGTTGATTATAGTTCTTGGGTATGTTCGTTTGTTATGCGCCGCAATATTTGGGTTGGGTACGTCTGGTGGGCGCCAAACACTGGGAATCCAAGGAAGCTAATAACGCTTCCCTCATCCTGTTACGTATTAAGCCCTGCTAACTGAATTTTGCTTAACAAAGTTAGTCGGAGATGCGTTCCTTTCTAATTAGCCAACGTCGCTGAAGCATCGGCACCACCAGGGACCGGGTATTTTCTAGACGCACTCATTAGCAGCTAACGATAATTTTCGGTGGTCCAGATGCCACAGAGGCTGTCAGAGCCCCCAAAGACAGCTGGTTTCATGCTGACACCACGAATTCCTCTTTCATTCGGTATTAAGGAAGAACAGTCACATGGATTCACTTGCACAGCCCGCACTTACATTGCCCTGTTATTACCTGCAAAAGATGAAGACGGCCTATAGGATCAACGCAACGGCTTGAAGCAGTCAAATAGTTTTACGTATTCGTGAGGTACATAAACTTCAAGGCTTCAGTACGGGTCTGTTCTGGCACTTTGACACGCACGCACGCACGCACGCACGCGCACACACATACTCAGTCGCAAGCAACTTATTAGGACGAAAAGCGACATCAGACACGGACTTCTCTTCAATTTCGCGCTCATTTCGCAAAACTACACAACAATCAGGCTAAGTCCACCAGAGATGACCGCCTCCACGTCGCCAGAAATGACCGGTTACTTCCCCTCGCTACAGCCGGCGTAGAAGGCTGGGGCGCTAACGGAATGAGCAGCTACATACGTCGTAATATAGCTCAATGAGTGATTACTATCCGGACCGTTGGGGCGCCGCCGGTCGCCGGTCTGCCCGGACTGTGGACCGGATTCGCCCGCGGGCTGCCGCCGTCGGCTGACGTCCGCAGGTCACCAGGTCACGGCGCCCGCACCGCCGGCGGGGCCCTCATGGCCGGCTCGGGGCTGACTCGCCGCACGGGCTGAGCACGAGAACGGACCCGGTGACAGGCAGCGGTCACTGTCGAGGCATGGTCACTGAAGAGGTCCGCTCACTGATAGATCATGCTCAGTTGCGGACCAGTCCGTCACTGGGTGACGCCCAGAGACGGGACACGCGCTCGTAATGACTAGCGTGCCAGCCTGCTGGGCCCCAGACGAGAGTGGGTGATAAAAACAGACGTTGAACGTCGCCCTGTACAGGGCACGTACACCCCCGTCCGCCAGGCGGCCTAAATGTGCCACTGGGCGGGAAATGCCACCGTATGATATGAGCAGACAAGGTGAAGCTGAAAAAGCAAACACAAAAACCAGTCCAGAACAAACCACTTCACTCTGTGAGACGAAAGTGTGACTTGATCCTTTGCCGCCCTGTGCGGGAGGCGGGAGGCGGTCCCAGCTGGCGGTTCCGGCGGGCCGAAGCCGACCCGGCCTCTTCCCCTCCCCTCCCCCTTCCCCCAGTTATCGGCTGTTGGCCCGGGATCACGGGGCGACGGGCGGCCTTCGGCCCCGGCACCGCCGGTCGTAAAGCGAGGGGCCGTGACGGCCTGATGCACCCAATACGGGCCGCCTCGGACTGATCGGACTCAGACGAGCCCCTCAGCCTCAACGAACTTGAAGGATGCTGTCTGATTGGGATGAGCTGGGATGAGCTCCCGGTCGTTTGGAAGGGTCAGGACAATCCTAAATCACTGGAAAGGTGTCTTAATCTGTCTTATCTGTCTGTCTAAAATCTGTCTTAACACGACAAACTTTTCCTTTTTCTGCTAAACTACTGAGCCAATCCTCGCTCAAAGAAGCCCTGATGTGAGGAAGAGTCCCCCAAAAGTCTCGGGCTGGGAGAGGCCGGGACGGGCCCCGCCAGAGCAAGTCTGCTCACCGTTTCACTCCTGTACCTCCTCGAATCAGTGCAGGCCTCAGCTCAAGCGGAAACGGTGGGCCTGCGCCGCCGTGGTGAGGCGGCCAGGCATGAAACCCCACCGGCAGGCATGAATAATCACCTGATTAGCTGGCGCCGTCATCAGTGACGACCAAGTGCACGAGGTGCGCGAGGAGGCTCGGGTTTCCGACTCCGGCGACGTGGAGCACGGCTAACGAGCGGTGAAGGGGGCGGCGACACCAGTCTGGCGCGCCGCACATGGACCCCGGCGCCGATAACGGGTGTCGGCCGTCGCCGGCCCGAAATTCAACCTCGCCGCGA